GTGGCTAGGGAACAAAACACTGTCACTAACATCTTTAATTGCAACGAGAGAAACTACTCAGAATTCGGTCTTTGACCGTATAATGTTTTATAATGATAAAGCAGGTTGTGGCTGGATATACATGTTGTACTACAGTTTCATCTCGTTCATAACCTCTGTCGTTTTATGTAAATGTACTTGTATGGCCCCTAATTACCCTTTTGAGTTTTGGGGCGTCACACATACATTATTTAACAGTAGTGAAGTTTGATGTCTCGATGTCACATTGATTATCTACAAAACAGGTGACTGTCTCTATCCTATAGACTTCATTAATACCGTATATTTGTGAAGTAGCGTAATTGTCTTTCCAAACAGATAAAATATTTCATCGAGTCATAAATATATATCACCATACATCATAACTTCCGTTCTATACTGGTGCAACACGACGATTGTCTATGAAGTGTTTTACGTGTCAAATAAGAAATAAACTAACGTCTTTCATTAGCATTTTACGGGTTTGAGTAGAAGTTTAACGCGTCAAACCATAGTTGACCCGTGAAATGCAAGCCCGCTAGGAAGTTACAAACTGATTGGTTAATTGATTTCCGTGCAGCAGCTGCCCTAATGAAAATTCATTTTCAACCAAATTTTGTATGTATACATGGACAAGATTAAAGCCGAGTTCGATCATCTATAGCAGGCGCACATACATGTATAGGACAATAAAGGTAATAAGACTAGGAATTGCACCTGGGCTGAACAAATCGTGCCTGTTCTGATAAATTGATTTGCACACTTATCAATCATTAAAGTATACAAAAATGTATGTATTCAGTTCAAAATGTTTTTTCATGCTTATTCATAAAGGACTTACGTCGACACATGTAAATACACAAATCGGGTACAGTCCCGTACAAATACATTTGTAGGCATATATATATAGCCGCCTTATACACGTATCGTGGCGACGGGGTGGGGTTTTTGGGTGGGGGCACTTACGTAATTTTACTAGGTGTGGATAACAAAAATCGATTAAAACGTAACTAACACACAGGTAAGGTCCAATTGTGTTTACATAATGGTCATGTGTCCAGCACTTAGGTAAAACCTTCTGGTCACTTATCTAATTGTTATTTGTCTAATAATAAAAATCCTTGAAACTTGAAATGTTATTTACCTGTTATGTTACCTGAGAGTCGGGGCCCCTTTCTTAACATATTTACATGTGTAATACTGTACATTGGTAATACTGTACATGTGTAAAACCTTTATTGTATAGAGCTACTACAACTTTAAGCAACTGGTCAAGGGGATGTTCGGACACTGACCACTGACCATTATCCTGTCATATTACTACACACATACAGGAAGTCACCCTCACACACACCTATCCTGTAGCATTGATTTGCTTATAATTACATGAACACTTTTATTACACACCTTTCCAAAAATAGGTTGGTCGGAGATAAGACCGGGACCGAGCGACAGTTTTTATGTTATCTGCCAATCAAAGGCCAGTCTCGTCCAATCACGATCGATGTATTACTCAGTCCTTTGTTTACAGGCCTACGACATCACTATGCAATGTCCTTACGTATGTATTAGCTGCCGTTTTCTCGTGACTACACGCAATGGCAGCAGAGAACTATATTACAAATCATTGTACGCAGGGAAGTATGTATGTAATATATACGTCTTTGTTGTACCACGGAATTAGATTAGTGCTGTCGAAGTCCGTGGTCGTACGTTAGGGAAATTGGAATTTTTAAGATTCTTTGAAATATATCAAACCGGAAAAACATAGTGAAACATATTCTTTTCTACCATGAACGCTAAAAACATGTAGCTTGTTGATATCAGAGACATATAGATTACAATATGCGTCATTGTAATATACGTCTCTTTTAATATAAACTTTTAACATAACGAAAGTTGTCTTCTGAAGATCACATTCACTGGCCATAGCAGAGATGTGACCCCGAAAAGGATCACATTCACGGCCCGTACGGGAAAATGTCTTCAAAAGGATTACATCTGCAGACCATAGCGAAAGTCACCCCGAAATGAAACACATTAATGACTGGTCATAAGGAAAATTGCCCTCGAAAGGATCACATTCACTGGCCACAACGAAATCGGTCTCAAAAGGATCACCGATTTAATATGCATTAGGAAATTTTCCCTGTCTCAAAAGGATCACATTTACTGAAGGACCATAACGAAAGACACCCTCACAATGAGCGCATATATTTACAATCAATCTAGTTGGCCCGGGTTGGAGCGCGCAGAGGGTTATAAAGCCGTTAAGAAACTTTCCCAAAAGAATCACATTTATCTATTTACAGATACACGTTCACCTGGTCTATGATCTATTGAAAGGGAAATAGAAAATAATTTTGGATAGACAAAAAATATATTCTCCAGACATTGTCTAGTCATTGTTGCACATTCTGTTAAAAATCATACCTAAATAGCTATCTTGTTCATTCAAAACTCATTCTAATCATTTGTGACCATGTGTATAGTAGTGTTCAGGAGTTGACATGCACCACAGACAAAGGTTCCTGTTTAATAGTGACAGTATATGACTATAAAACACCGCGGCGTGTGCATCAAACTGCACACCATCCACAGGAGCGTGCACACAACTGTATGACGTGTGCCCACGCAGGGTTTGACGTAGCTCACCCCTTCTACGATCACGATTCCTTGGAACTTCCCAAAAGCTCTAACATGCTAAAGGCATTAAGTAATCTTGAAGTATAAGCAACACGATCCCAACACGATGTCCCCGTATACAAAACGTGTGTGTAACATGGATCACAAAAGTGATGCATTGAGGAGGATATTTATTAATTTGTGGCTATGAAAAAGAAATCGATGGGTGCTTTAACAAACGAAACAGTTCCTCGGTATCACGTGAGATAGTTTTAGAATACTCTGACGTCACCATCTAGTGTTTCTGGTTTTGGAATACCAGTATTGCATGGCTTTGTCATTGTAAAACATAAACTGTTGACACATTCAAGTTTTTTTTTAGTGAAGAGTAACCGTTTTCAGTACTTAGAGTACTGCCACCCTATTGTGCTTTGTAACCAAGATTCATCTGAAGGTCTCCCTATAGAGACGGAAGATTCAGAGGGAAAACGGAATAGCATACGTGTGAACTTGTTTTTACGATCTTTTGATGGTCTGACATAGCCGTACCGATGTTAACATTTTATTAAAAAAAACTGTTTTTAAATGAAACTCAATCAATATGTACTAGGCCAGAGACAATATACTACTGGTTTTATTCGTTTCTGAATAGGCATAGTAGTGTAGTATGCGGCATATGGAACTTGGTCAAACATCAATGTGATATTTCTTTATTTTGGACCATTTGAAAAAAAGTCATATATGCTTGCACAAAACAACTAACTTCATCAGAGTGCGTATTATTATTTCCATTATTTCCTCCAAAAATGAAGAGTTACAGAAATAACGAACAATACACGTACAATTCAACACTATTGAAAGAGAAGAAAATGCATTCACAATCATGGTCACACCCTTAATAATGATAACGTGATAAATTATAAAGAAGGTTTCAACTTAAAAGCCTGGTCCAAAGTTTATAAAGAAGGCTTTAACTTGAAAGCCTGGTCCAAAGTTTATAAAAAAGGCTTCAACTTTAAAGCGTGGTCCAGAGTTTATAAAGAAGGCTTCAACTTGAAAAAGCCTGGTCCAAAGTTTATAAAGAAGGCTTCAACTTGAAAAGTGTGGTCCAAAGTTTATAAAGAAGGCTTCAATTTGAAAAGCCTGGTCCAAAGTTTATAAAGAAGTCTTCAACTTAAAAAAACTGGTCCAAAGTTTATAAAGAAGTCTTCAACTTAAAAAAACTGGTCCAGAGTTTATAAAGAAGGCTTCAACTTGAAAAAGCCTGGTCAAAAGTTTATAAAGAAGGCTTCAACTTGAAAAGCGTGGTCCGAAGTTTAGAAAAAAGACTTCAGCTTGAAAAGCGTGGTTCAAAGTATATAAAGAAGGCTTCAATTTGAAAAGCGTGGTCCAAATTTTATAAAGAAGGCTTAAACTTGAAAAGCGTGGTCCGAAGTTTAGAAAAAAGACTTCAACTTGAAAAGCGTGGTCCAAAGTATATAAAGAAGGTTTCAACTTGAAAAGCCTGGTCCAAATTTTATAAAGAAGGCTTCAACTTGAAAAAGCCTGGTCCAAAGTTTATAAAGAAGGCTTAAACTTGAAAAGCGTGGTCCGAAGTTTAGAAAAAAGACTTCAACTTGAAAAGCGTGGTCCAAAGTATATAAAGAAGGCTTCAATTTGAAAAGCATTGTCCAAATTTTATAAAGAAGGCTTCAACTTTAAAAGCGTGGTCCGAAGTTTAGAAAAAAGAGTTCAACTTGAAAAGCGTGGTCCAAAGTATATAAAGAAGGCTTCAATTTGAAAAGCCTGGTCCAAATTTTATAAAGAAGGCTTCAATTTGAAAAGCATGGTCCATACCAATTCGACCATATACTGGGTGTTTCTAAATAGTGAAAACCGCAAAATATGAACATGCGATACAAAATAATATAAAGAAGCAGTTGTAGACTTAATCTGCAGTCGGTATATGAATTTAAAAACTCGATCTTGAACTGCGTCCATTGTATATAAATTTTATACCTTAGCAATAGACAAGTGTCCTATATAACGGATGGGGAACATTTAACTCTGGTTTCATTAGCGGTTCTCTAAGTCCTTTCATCATAGCAGTCTCCATAACTTAAATGTCACCTAAATATTTCTCGGAAACATTTAAACCAGTGAACGCAGTTGTATTTTAAATCTATGCTTCGTTCTTGACTTCTTCTAACACTGATTAGTAAGCGTGCTTAACTGTGGTTGATATGTCTCACGTTTACCTCGTACATACCGTTATACGTATACGATCCGCACTGACCCTTCCGACATTAACGACCCGGCGGTGCATCACATATATATAGCGGCGGGGAGGTCTGTTTGACAGTTGTATGCTTGGAAGGCTACGATACCAGGTCGACTCCACACTTTCGGACAAGAACTACAACTCAGCAAAGTCGAGAATTTCTGGAATTGCTTAAAAAGTTTTTGGATTTTTACCACACGTTTTAGGTAGTCCGATATTCTTGGCATGGAGAAGCTCTTTTTAAGGTGTTTTATGGTGTTTGTTGTGTGTTGTTGGCTCCCAACGGTGCACGGTCATGGTAGGCTTATAGAACCTCCAATGCGCTCGGCTGCTTGGAGGTACGGATTTCCAACGCCGAAAAATTATAACGACAACGAGCTTAACTGTGGCGGATTTCCGGTAAGTATTCTTCCGTGTCTGTCGACCGAGAAGCTAAAAAAATGATGTGTGATAACGGTCTAGGTATTCGTACAAAACATCATAACTAAGATCTTATACGAGGACAGGTAAAGCGTGTGTGTTTCTGTGTGATACCATAAGTAAGTTTATTCATTACACGTAAGGAAATGAGACAAGGATGTTTATCACACATATTACTTCAGTTACACCAGATAATTAACCACTTTCCACTGAAAAAAAATAATTAAATGTTTGCGCCGAACTTAGGTCGGCACTGTTCCCCGTTTTAGCTTCTCGAAGTATTTCTACGGCTAGGGAATTGTGTCTATAGTGTTGAGATGTTTTCCGAAGCCAGTTATATAAATGACAGAACCCGAAGAAGAGATAATTTTTACTTCTAGTGATTTTTTGGCAGGTTATCACTATTTCCGTGAAATTTTTAGGATATTTGCTTTTCTATATTATCGGAGTTTCGATGAAAGTCGTTGTAAAGTTTGTTATAATTTCGCCAGTGTAAAGCTTTGTTCTAATATTTTAACTTTAACATTATTTTTCTATCTGAACTATAAATGCTTCGTTTCATATTGTCTTGTGTAAATTTGGTTTTGATAATTGTCGATGTATTTTTTTCAGTTTGATATTTGTTGGTGTAAATTTTTCATTTTGATATTTAATGGTTTAAATTTTTCCTTTTTGATCTTTGATAGTTTAAATTGTTCATTTTGATATTAGGTGGTGTACATTTTTCATTTTGATATTTAATAGTTTAATTTTTTTATTTTGATATTAGTTGGTGTGAATTTAATTATAACAGATGAAAACATTTTCAACTTTGATATTTGTGTAAAAAAAATTCGTTTTATATGTCGTTTAAATATTTGTTGTATTGATGCACATGCAGAGTAGGGTCAGTATTGTTTTAATACGAGGTAAATCAGTCATGCAATAAGGACAAGCATGTGTGTTTCCTGAGAAGGAACCCTAAGATGTAATGATCGGAGTCAATAATGCCATTAGAAGACAAAAACAACCCTACAAATGCTGTTTATATTGCGACACGTAAGGTCGACTGCCCTCCCCGACGATTTACTTGGTGTTTCATAGGCTTGCACAACAAGACAAGGTAACAGTCTGTGACAGAACAGACGGCGATAAGTCAAGCCTGGCAGACAGGCACTTAAATGTTTTAATTACTGAACATTATCTAAGCATTAAGTTTCTATGTAAAAGGTGTCTTCATGTTAACAGCTATAATGTACTTGATCTATGTTACGCACTTAAACATGTGGTTGCTGAAATTAAATCCGATTTTTTATATGATAAATAGCCACTTTTTTGTTGGCGATTTGCATCATTTTTGCATGTAAGCAAAATAAAATCAAGCGTGTAGATATTTCTTTAATTTTTGACCAATCAATTCACTTTTAATTATTCACTGCATTCAAATCCGGAGATTTTCTGGTAAAATGCAGATGGAGCGACGGTAGAACAGAGACATATATAGCGTCTCTGAGTAGAATAAGTGTTTTGCTACATACACTACGTCATTATTGAACACCAGCATTTATAACATCTTATAAACCAATCTTACTGTATCGTAGCATAAATTATAGAGTTTCATTGAACAGCCCAATCAAAATGGCACCCAGCCTTGATTGTTTGCGTCGTTGTAGGTAAATTCGAAATGTAATAGAAATGGTCGGTTGGTGCAGTCGATAGCGCACTTGCCTTTCACCAAGCCGACCGGGGTTCGATTCCCCGATCGGACGTGAAAAGGTATGGGGTCACCTGCCCGACCACATGGGTTCTTTCCGGGTACTACGGTTTCCTCCCACAGTAAGACTAACATCCGGGCCAACAAGAGTGATAATTATAAATTATAAAAACTTGTTTCATAATTGTTGTAAAATAAATAAAGTTTATATTTTAATAAATACAATATTTTCTTCCCTAGTTGACCATCAAATACATTTTCACTTGTTTGGCAGAATACTACGATACTCTGCCATCCTCTTGAAACATTTAATGTTAAACGAGGAATCACTAAAATATACAGTATACTCAATGGATTTTTACCAGTATGTTGTCTGTTGTTTAATATATCCTTAGTTAGACTACATCCCAAGTATTTGTGTCTAATGCTTTGACTGTACCGACAGTTATCTGACCCTAGTAGTTTTAGAAGCATAAACCCCTTCGGGCAAATACTGGAAACGCTGAGATCACTGTATAACAGTTCTTTCTTTTGTATTTTATTATTTGGTAATAACTTAGGAATTTCCAATGACTTGTAAAAACTTAATTTTCGAATGACGGTGTTAAACCTGCAGAATTACAAGAATGATCAGTACTGTATTTGTACCCGTGTATGCTGACGGCAAGGTTTATTTCTGAAAGTGCAGACATATAATGGCAGGTGTGATGTGCCACAGAAACAATTAGCCTCTAAATGCCGTAAAGCAGCATTCCGAATAAGAAATTATATGTAGATATGAAAATATCTTGTCGCTTGGCACGTTCGTAAGTAGAATTGTCCTCTATGCATGTGAAGTGACGAGTATGCAATCGGCTACTGATTATTGAAACAATGCATCTTGGTTTTTGTTTTGCAAATATGCTGGTGTAAAAGGTTTTAGGAGCATCTGCATATATCATTACAGTTTATTTTTTTATTTTGAGAAAATTTTTACCACCTTTTACCTGTTTTTTTTTAATTAAAACAATTGATCAGTAATGAGCCCGAGAGGATGTTAGTGTAGCATAACGTAAAATCACAATACCTGCTTAAACTTAATCCAATAACTTATTGATTGATAAATATTACTTAGCGCTTAAAGTCTCGTTACCATAGCGTCTGTGCATGTTATTCGTCAAATATATCAGTCGTTTCTTTATCATGAAATATCAAGAGCTTAGATTGATATAATTCCTTGACAATACGGCCTCATTTTCAAATAAAAAATAAAAATAAAAAAATCGATCGGACGAAATGTAGTAGTTTCACTTATAAGATAGGTAGACAGCACTTAACGTTGGTTAAAAGATAACTTGTAACAGGATCGGACAATAATCGAACATCGGGTTCTATGAACTATTAACAGAAAGTTAAATAAGTCAAGGTCATGTCAATGTTTCATTATTGCATGTCATAGTTACAACATTTGATCGAGGAGATGGAAGATCAATATGACACAGACTCTACCTGTACTGACGTGTGCAGGTCACATTGTCTGGCATGTCTTTGTGTCTGGGTAATTATAAAGCAATCGGACCGATAATTCACATCAATCAACAAATAAAAAGAAAATATACGAGATTCATTAATTGATGTAATTATCGTACAAATTGTCGTACCGGTAATGTTTTTAAATATGTATGCCATTGTTCGTATCACAGAACCGCTTTGTTCGGGACTTACGATATACTACGTCATCAAAAAGACTTAATGTTTAATAGATACGTATTATAATTATGTGTCCATGCCCCTTTATGTTATACGATACATTTGGGCAATGAATTAATACAAGCCCTTATATTGCTTTCCAATCCCTTTGCAGTTACATGTATATAATAACCTTGCCTGATTATGGAACAAAAAACCCCACTAGTTTAGCACCACCTTAGTGAGTTTAGTTACAGCACCTCAAAAATAAACATAATTATTAAAACTTAAATGTAAGATCAATGCTACAAGTATAGTTTATGTAACTCCTAAGTACCCAGTTATGATGATGTGTTAGTATAGTACACTCACATGATTTGAATGAAAAACCTACGATGATATTTGTATAGTATATCATAAAGTTTGGTGTAAGATACCCATGGTGACATATATAAGTATATTATAAAATTCAGTTTGTGGTATTTGTCAAGTATATCATAAATTTAAGGGCGGGATACCTAAAGTGATATTAGTGTATTATATTATAAAATTCAGTTTGTTGTATTTGTCAAGTATATTATAAATTTTAGTGCGAGATACTTAAGGTGATATTTGTATAGTGTATTATAAAATTCAGTTTGTCGTATTTGTCAAGTATATCATAAATTTAAGTGCGGGATACCTAAAGTGATATTAGTGTATTATATTATAAAATTCAGTTTGTGGTATTTGTCAAGTATATTATAAAGTTTGGTGTAAGATACCCATGGTGACATATATAAGTATATCATAAAATTCAGTTTGTCGTATTTGTCAAGTAAATCAAAAAGTTTTGTGTAAGATTCCCATGGTGACATATATAAGTGTATTACAAAATTCAGTTTGTGGTATTTGTCAAGTATATTATAAAGTTTGGTGTAAGATACCCATGGTGACATATATAATTCAGTTTGTGGTATTTGTCAGGTATATCATAAAGTTTGGTGTAAGATACCCATGGTGACACATATAAGTATATTATAAAATTCAGTTTGTGGTATTTGTCAAGTATATCATAAAGTTTGGTGTAAAATACCCATGGTGACATATATAAGTATATTATAAAATTCAGTGTATGGTATTTGTCAAGTATATTATAAAGTTTGGTGTAAGATACCCATGGTGACATATATAAGTATATTATAAAATTCAGTTTGTGGTATTTGTCAAGTATATTATAAAGTTTGGTGTAAGATACCCATGGTGACATATATAAGTATATTATAAAATTCAGTTTGTGGTATTTGTCAAGTATATTATAAAGTTTGGTGTAAGATACCCATGGTGACATATATAAGTATATTATAAAATTCAGTTTGTGGTATTTGTCAAGTATATTATAAAGTTTGGTGTAAGATACCCATGGTGACATATATGAGTATATTATAAAATTCAGTTTGTGGTATTTGTCAAGTATATTATAAAGTTTGGTGTAAGATACCCATGGTGACATATATAAGTATATTATAAAATTCAGTTTGTGGTATTTGTCAAGTATATCATAAAGTTTGGTGTAAGATACCCATGGTGACATATATAAGTATATTATAAAATTCAGTTTGTGGTATTTGTCAAGTAT